GTGGAACCAAGATTGCAGAACTCCCCTCCCCCCCCCCACACACGCAAGTTCGCCTGGTACAAAATTTACTATCATTTAGTGACAATCAAAAACATTATTTCCCCAAGCTTTTGCTAAATTAAACCCTCTATGAAGTTTTTAACAATCAGTATGGCTTTATGCTTTGGGCTGTTTTGCGTTGTGGTTTTATGTAATTTTTAAAATCTGATTCTACTTTAAAAACATTTTTATCTGTTCATTTTAAATTTCTTTGTCCCAGGCTGCTGTTTTGCATGTAAGGCGTTGTTCTACTGTTTATTATTTTCATTTTATTGCTATAAGTCACCATAAATATATCTATGTAGGTAGTGAGGAAGATAAATATTTTAAATAAATAAACAGAGAAGAGTATGGCATCCAATCTTGTAAGACAAAAATTACTTGGTTATCTATCTCCATAAGGGAGCCTGTAAAACTTTTTAAAAATAAATTACACAAATTTGGAATTTATACAGCAAGTTTAGGATGGACAAAAAAAGCTCCTTTTTTACTCAATGAGTAATTAAATTGTGAGATTCACTGCTACAGGACATATTGATAGCCATGTGTGTGTGTAAAGTGTCATCAAGTCACAGCCAACATGGCGACCCCGTAGGGTTTTCAAGGCAAGTCACATTCAGAGGTGGTTTGCCATTGCCTGCCTCTGCGCAGGGACCATGGACTTCCTTGGTGATCTTCCATTCCAAATACTAAGCAGTGCCAATCCTGCTTAGCTTCTGAGATATGACAAGATCAGGCTAGCTTGACCCATCCAGGCCAGGACACCACTAATGTATATGGCTGTAAAAGGACTTTAGACAAATTCATGGTGGATAACTGCTATCCATGGTGACTAGAGGATACTTCCCCAGTCCTAGGCAGCAAACCTCTGAATACCAGTGCCAGGAGGCATCCTCAGGGGAAAGCCTTGGTCCAGACCCATAGTCACGGGGGGTCATTTGAAGGCTCCTCCCATATGTGCCCTGCCACTTCCCTCCATGTCCCCCCTCTCCTCTCCTTTCCCCTCCCCATCCCTCCCTAGCTTGCATCTCTTTTTCACAGCAGCAAACCACTCCTGACTTGCTGCTCACTGCCCTGGCGAGGCGAATGAGTGCGGCACTCTCCTCTCCCGAGCTCAGGCCTGGAGATCTTAATGCGCCCTTCCCTCCACCCTCCAAAATCCTGTTGTTTTGCTTCTGATCTGCCTTATCTATGTGTCCACTGCCTGGTTGGTGGCTAATTCAGAGGAAATGAGTGTCAGCTCTCTGCTGACTGCCCGGCTTGGTGCAGAGGAGGCAGTTCAGCAAGGCAGAATGCCCTGCCCTGGGGCCTCACTGCGACTGTGCCAGGGTGGCCTCACTGTGCCTGGTGTGGATCCTGGGAGGACCTTGTTGCTAGTATAATGTGAAGGAGGTGGCCGTGGTGGTAAGACAGCGGCAAGGGACAGGGCTGCCCCCGGGAGCGCCGGAGGCTGTGGGGGCTGGAGAAGCAGGCAGTCAATGCCGGCTTGAGTGGCGCGGAGTCACGAAGAGGTGCTGGGCCGGGGAAGGAGGAGGCTAGAAGGCAGGGCCCCAACCGAGCAAGGCGTCCTCTCTGCTGAAGTTCTGTTCTGACTTGTTTTTTGGCGTGCACTGCGCCTGTGGACAGGACATAGGCCACGCAGGCAACGCAGCCACCAATGGATGAAGAGACCTTGTGAGTGGCATGTCAGTGGGCCAAAGGCTGTGGAAACATGTTGAAGAGGCACCCCAAAACAGCTTTATATATAAGGAGAGATATGTAAGAATAGCAGAAGGATACTGGTGGGCACTGAGATAGGGCTTGAAGAACACAGAAGCATTTTCACTTGGTGGTCTGGTCATTTTAAAGGCAAATTTCCTTTACATTGTTCACTGTTCCTTTTTCCTTATCTAAGATGAGAAACTGTTTGTCATGTTTGTAAGTTAATTAAATTAGCACCTCCCCGGCTCCCACCCCCCAAAAAAATCTAGCTATAGGCCCACCTTGATCTATGTGCCCTGGTTGTTGATTCTTCATGGCAACTGGTTTGCCATTGTGTAAAACAGGATGCTGGACTAGATGCTGACCTAGCAGGACTTTTCTAATGTTAAGAACTTAAGAAGAACCCTGCTGGATCAGACCAATTGTTCCATCTAGTCCAGCATCCTGTCTCATACAATGGCCAACCAGTTCCTCTGGAGGGCCAACAACAGGGTATAGAGGCTGAGACCTTCTCCTGATGTTGCCTCCTGGCTCTGGGATTCAGAGGATTAGTGCCTTTGAGTGTGGAGGTTCCCCTCAGTAACCATGTTAAGTTTCTAAACTGTATATAACTTGTAAGGCAAGATCCAATGAATCCTCATGTATGAGTAGAAGGCACTTCTGCGCTGTGCACTTCTATGTCCTCCCCAATTTCCCCCCCAGGCTGCAGCCTTTTGTGCCACACTGCCCTCTAGAGTAGATATTGGGGGGCAGCTTGGAGGGGAAATTGATCTGTCTCTCTCTCTCACACACACACTCATATTTGAATGGAAATGCCTTCAACTCATACATGGAACTCTTGGGATCCAAACCATATATATTAGACAGGGCTTAACATCTGCATTATTGGGCAAGATGCATGGAACTACCCAAGGTAAACCCAAAGGCTGAGACATATCCAGTGAGATTTGTTACCTTTTCTAAAAACATCATTTTCCTTTGAACAGCAGCTATATCTCTCATTGCTATATCACAGATTGCTTTTCAAAGACCCTCCTTTTTAATGTGCAATGAGAAGCATTTATACTAGCTTTAAGATGTTATTGAGGAGAAGCATTTGTAATACATATATGGATTTCAATGAGATTTTGTGTGACTGTCTGGATTGGGATGATTATCTGCCATTTTTCTGCCTAAAGAGAGGTCTGGCCTTTATTATAAAAAAAAATACTGCCAAAGACTCTTGCGCTCGCTTTCAAAGTACCAACTTTTGTTATGGTTTTGCAATGCATGTTGAGTTTATGCAACCAATCCTATAAAGCACGACCACAAACTATTTACAGAAAATTCCACAAAGGGGTTGTTACACATTCATTTAATTTTCCTCTTCCTACAGCCAGTCTCTTAAAATCTGGTTTACAGTGTACTTTAAGATGACCCAGCTGAACGTTAATCCAAGGGTATACACTCTGTATAAACAAATGGGTTTCCCACTTTGGCAGAGGCAGCAAGTTACAAGCATTCTAAAACTAAGGGATGTTTTCACAAGTGACTCTAAAATCTGCATTTGAATTTCCTGTGTTTGTAAATGTGAATGAAAGAGTCACATTGACCACAAAGTACACTGGATTTTAAAATGGCTCTCTTCAGCTTCCTACATGACATTAACAACATTTAGGAGTTATGCTTTACAGACCTCACTTTCTTGGTGGCACTTGTATAAAATGCATGCTGACTCAGCATTATAAGGTTTAGGAAGATAAAGAAAACAGCAGCCTTTCATTTTGATGTAGTTATGCAAGAGACTTTTTCCCTGCTTCACAGCACTGCTGTGGTCATGGTTTAGGTTCAGCCAGGGCCCTACACATGCCCAGAGGAATTCTTTTCATATGAATGGCAATTCCCATCTCCACCTTACCCCAGCCCAGGCGTTATCACAAACTGCTTAAGAAATTCTCCTGTTGCAAAAGCAGCTAGCTATCGGGCACAGGCTTCTCAATCATTCAGTTAATTAAAAGCACTTCTGTGCCACCTTATAACATAGTTGCTGAGTTAGTTTATAAAAACAAAAAACCAACCCCCCCCAATAAAAATGCAATAAACCCTGAAAAATCAGTAAAGATTCGCTGACAATAAAATATACAATAATACAAAACTCAAATGAGCGGCAGCAACAAAAGACCATAAACAAAAGGGCAAAACAAAAACAAAAACAGATAACTACATATTATTAAAAGCCTGGGGAAACAAAAGCCTTTTCCCTGGTGCCTAAAATTTAAAAGAGGAGGTAAATGGCAGAGGTAAGGGAGGACAGGACTCCACAGCAGAGACGGGGAGGGGCACCACCTAGGACAGCCACGTCTCCCACTACTGCCTACCACTGGTGGAGCAGTGGAACAAAAATGAGGCAAAATGTGGCATCAGTTAACAGGAAATGATGTCATGGAACCGCTGTAGGAATTTTCCAGCTCTCTATGGTTTTTACAACTGCATCACTTCCAGGTATATACCCAGAAGGGACATAGCAGTACCATATACAATCCCAATGGCCCACCCCAAAGCTCCCAGGAGTTACCGGTGAACGAATAGCCATCCTAGCACCACCAGGAGACAGAAGCACACAGAACACAACTGGAGGCATGTGCTGAACATTTAAACAACCAGGCAGGTCTGTATAAGAGCAGAGAATCCACGTCCAAACCTCCTGTAAGTTTGCAGGAGTAGCTGTTCTTTGTCTACAGGCTAGAATGGGCCTCCTAACACACACAGCAAGCCAGGAATATATTTGTGCTCAAGGGCAGCCTGTCGCACAGGCAGGCTTTAAAATAAGAAATACGACTTTATGTTGTGTAAAAGAGTAACAAATATAAAGGTATTATTTTATCCTGCCCACCCGTGAATTTTTTTTTTTTTTTGCATGTCCCTATTTGTCCTCATTTAGTTTAACAGGCTTCACCCTGTGTTTTTAATCAAAACTACAGAACCGAATAAAATGCTAATATATTTCTACTTGTGCGGTCTATGAAAATGTATGCACATACATTTCACTAAGAAACCTGTAGAAACCTAACTGTGTTAATATTCCATTGCAAGAAGACCTTTTTCATTCTGTTTATATCAAAGTAAGATCTCAGCTATCTGAGGCTACAATCCTGTGCACAGCTGGATTAAGTAGCTTTTAATTCCCCACTGAATTCAACAGAGCTCACATCTGGGTAAGAATGAGTAGGACTGAGTTGTAACATTTTGAAAAAGGGCTTTGAGTGGAAAACAATACTCACAGTATTAGGAACGTATGGCAATCCATAGAATTTCTCTTGCGTTTCCTTTAAAACGTCTGTGGTTGACTTTCCTAGTGGATGTTTCCCATGGTATATCTGGTCCAAGACAGCGTAAAAGACCTAGACGTATAACACATATAAACCATACATTATAACATGTGTATGTGGGAGGGGGGGTATATTTCTCTCTCTCTCTCTCTCTGTCTCTCTCTCTCTCTCTCTCTCTCTCTCACACACACACACACACAAATACACAAACAAAGCTGCAGTTCACAGTCTTGCTGTTCAGCATGGGTTTAACCAATCCAACACACAGCAGAAAGCAAAGATAATACTGGATACCTGTCACAAAGATCCACACAAATGGGGGTGGTAGTTTTGCCAACTTTCCCCTCCTGCAACAGGTTTTCAGCTCCCCCTTCATGATGCTCTTAGGTCCTCCCATCCCCCTATAAGCAGCATTTTGGGGGGCATATCAAACTGCTGTGGGAGTGGGGTAGATGGGAAAGTCCTACTTTCATGTGTAAAGTTCTTGGTTGCATAAAGCTTTTAGATGGGATCCAACTCTGAGTTCACATTCCCAAATCCTGTAGATGCAAATGAAGCAGTTTTGTCACTCAGAAAAAAGCTCCCATGTTTCCACAAGGCTATCAGCCCAATTCTCAAAAGATGCAAGTCCTGACTACAGAGCACCTCTCTTACGCTCTGTGGAATTTAGTACAGAACTTCCCAGCATGACCTTGCTAGAAAAAGATCACCCATTCTTCTGCCTCCCAATGTCTTGGAGCACCACAGAAACGAATATAAAATGCTTTTAACCTGGGGAATATGAAATTAATATAAGCCACAAGACATGACTTGCAACCAGAACACTGAAAACTTGGCTGTTTCAAAGCATGTGATAAGGTCGGAGCTCCAGCCTCTTTCCCCCCCTATGCTTGCTGTGGTGTTGCTGTTTTTAAACGGATAAACATCCAAAATGCAACCTCCCTCCTCCTGCTACAGTAGCGAGGCCCAGAAATGGGCCTTCAGTGTGAGAAGAGCTAAAAGCCTCTACTGTGCATTTGGGATTCCACATATTCCCAGTCCAACTGTGGGTTTGGAAAGCACTGAAGTGGAAATAGCTAAGAATTTATGGATATAATTATCTAAGCCTTGATATCCTGCAGTGGGTTGGAGGAGACAGACATTTAGCCGCGGCTATGTTTCAGACTATCCTTCCTTTTTTGTGGGATGAGGTGGATGACCTAGGCAGAGCTCTTAGTCACCCTGCAATTTCCAGTGATAGCATGGTGTTGAAGAAATTGCTACGACTGCCAAGAGAGAAAGTGACTAAGCCATAATGGCTCTTGATCCCTGGATATAAGGCATCAGTCTTTTCCAGGAGAGTGTATTTTAAAAGCAGCAAGCACAAAATAGGGAGATTTGAAAGTGCTAAGTGTAACTGTACTTCCCGTTACCAGCAGGTGAAGCCCCGCCTCACATCCAGCATCTATATATCTAATAGTCAAGTGGCCCCGTGAGTGCGGATCGCTAAATCCGCGCTCCGGAGCCACATGGGGGGCAGGGGGAGGTTTGTGCACACGTGGGCCAGTCCCCACATGTCCACAAAAATCCTAAAAGCTGAAAAAAAATTCGGGGGGATGTTTAAATCCCCCCGAAAGTGCAAGAGCGTTCCGTGCGCATGCGAACGCCGCCGCCACTTGGAAGGCAAGCGGCGAGCGGCGA